AAGAAGAAGAAGAAGAAGAAGAAGAAGAAGAAGAAGAAGAAGAAGAAGAAGAAGAAGAAGAAGAAGAAGAAGAAGAAGAAGAAGAAGAAGAAGAAGAAGAAGAAGAAGAAGAAGAAGAAGAAGAAATGGTAACCCTAGTAACCCATGATTGAGGATAGCTTCCGAGTTCTGATGATGATGAAACTGTCTACATGTAGCACGTACTTCTGTGTGAGGCGCAGTTTGTGTGTGAGTGTGACACTGTCAGGGTCGGTGCCCTGCAGCTTGCGCCAGCGGTGCACATTCAGCGGTGTCTCCAGCGCCTCCTCCAGCGCGCGCACTCGCAGCCGCGACCTGCCCAGCTCGCGCTCCAAGTTGAACACCTGCAACACAAACATAATAACTGACGCCAACCAGATTCCATTTATAGCATCACTTTGTGGTCTGTCCGTCTTTCTGTCAAGATCCTTTTTCTCAGGAAAGCGTGAAGGTATCAAGCCGGAACTCATTTGTAAGAAAGACACTCTGATGGTACCTCTAATCTCAAATCAGTCATGTTCTCAATTCCTTTAGACAGTAGATTCTTCTCTTTGCGCAGCCTCATTATCTCCAGGCGAAGAAGGCGGATGTCTTCAACGCGCTGCTCGTACTGACGTTCTCCTGGACACAGAACACGCAAACAAATTAAACTGACTGACATTTTAAAGACAATACGAGCAACGACAATACTTTAAATATAGCAATCAGCCAGTTGCTTGTGTGAAGGTACCATACCTCTATGCAAGGTGACCTCCAGGATGCGTATCTTCTCATAGAGCAGAGAGATCTCGTCATTACGACGCACGAGCTGAGCGCCCACCACATCGCGCTCGTTCATCATGCCGTCCAGATCCTTCATCAGCTTGGCACGAGCCACGTCACTCTCCTACGATCATAATTATAAATGACTAGTTGTAACCCGCGACTCCGTCCGCGTGGAATGAAAAAAAAGTTAATTAGTTCCTGTTGGCGACGAAATTATTAAATCACGATTTCAAGAATTAAGGCGGCAAGTTGCAAGAGGCTCAATTAGAATAACGATCAAAAAGTAATTTTTATTATTGAATAGTTAGAAACCAGACCTCTCCACCAGACGAGACCACACGCACGCGCTTTGACTGACCCCGAGGAATTTCCTCTTTTATCAAAGTGTTTTTCTTGGGCGACTTTTCCTGCGTTATTGGTCCGTAGTAGACTTGACCTCTTTGACTACTCTTTCTGCGGGTCCTGGATCGGTGTTACCGGCGCAAGGTGAAGATCGAGTTGCGTGCCGCGAGGTGCAATACGAGGTTCTCGCTTTGTTTATGCGTACTGGTCACTCAATTGGGAGCTTGTCCCAGACAGTGAGTTCCCGATAATTATTCGAATTTCTTTCACCTTTTAAACCTTCACTAGACCTCCACAAAAATTTCAAGACCGAGATAAGATAAATCCGTTCAACCGATCTCGAGATTTAGCGAGATTAACGAACAGCAATTGATTTTTATATTATAAATGAAATAGAACCTTATTATCGTGTTTTAATTCATAATTAATGCCATCTAGTGGCGAATGGCGGACTTATTTGTAATTTCAAGCTGCTATACCTGTATGATCCTATTGAGGCGCGCCTCCTCCTGGCGCAGCGCAGTGATGTCAGCGCGTGCCTCCGCCAGGTGCGCCAGCCCCGCCTGCACCTCGCCCCGCAGCTGCTCGTTCTTCTTGTTGCACTTGGCGAGCACGCCCTCGCACGTCTTCAGCCCCGACTCCTTGCCGCTGATGTCCTCCTTCAACTGCTCGATCTGGTACGCTAACATCTGGAATATTTCTTTATTATTATATATTATTCCAAGCGCATGACAGCTCACTCTTCGAATGCTTAAACCAGGCTACAAAACGTTCTACACTATATTTTTTTACTTTATTACACGAGTACAAAGTTTCAGTCAGAACTGGTATAATATACCCATCACTTAGTTTCGTCTCCGACTTGCCAGATACTATGAATATTTTAAACGCTTGTTAAACGATTATTATGTGGTTAGGTTAACTTTTAAACACGAGTTATTACAGTAAAGGGAGAATTTACTGAAATTTACTGAATTTAATTTACAATAAAAATAAAATATTGTAGTATCTAATAGAAATAAATACATAAAAAGTGGTCGAAACCACGCACTCAATTTATGTACTACCTTTAATTTTAATTACCCACAATTTCATCACTTTTGTATCTACCTGCATTTTATGTACAATAGTTTTGAAACTACCTTCAATTTCTGTTATCACTGTTTCCTACCTTCAGTTTCTGCTTTAGATCTTGTATTTCGTCGACCGCTTCTGTATAATTTTTATACAGCATGTTCCTCTCAGTGCGTGTCGCGTCCAATGAAACTGAGAGTTTGCGACTCTTGATGGCTTCCTCTCGTAATGCCTTGTTCAGGTCCAATATGTCCGCGGTTCGGAGACGCACCTCCTCTGCAAGGAGTTGTTTGCAAGATATACAGTAAGTTTCAAATAAAAATCTAAATTTACAAGTTTTATAATACAAGCTGTACCTGTTATCTCATCTATCTTGTCATTAAGAGCTATTGTTTCTTCCAACATCCTGTAGATAGAAAATTTAGACGCTTATTAGTATATGTTATGCTTCAGAGTGTTTTAAGTTTAATCCAATTAGTCTTCCCTTTAAGACGAAAGATGATAAATATTATAAGAGAAAAACATCTTCACCGTTAAATCTACTTCTTTCTCATAGGTTCTCATTGTACTGGATTCGGGACTCTAGTACCTCATTACACGAACGACCAAACAGACTTCGGTTTATATTCTTCCCCAGAATGTCATAGGGAAGAGTCTAGGGGTTTTTTTTTTAATTTTCAACTTCAATCATAATATTCTATCATCCTCTTACTTGTAGATGTTTCTAGCTTATACAATTTTCGTTTATGGATGTATTATCAGCTACCTGTCCTTGTCCTTCTCCATCTGCAGTATGACGAGGCGCTGCTTGTTGACTTGCGCGTTGCTCACCTCCACCTCGTGCTCCAGCTGCTTGCGCCTCTGCTCCTGCAGGTTCAGCAGCTGCAGGTTCTCCATCGCCTCGTCTGCAACAAACATTGTACATTATTCTAGATTTTTCTCTGTCAGTCAGTTTTCGTGGTAGACCTCAATCCAATGTTTTATAGAAATATGTTTAGGAGATGGTTAACTTACTCTGAATTTTCTGTATGTTCTTGTTGAGAATGTCCTTCTCTCTGTTTAAGTTTTCAATCTCCCTCCGCTCGGCCTCCGCGTGCTTGTTGCCCAGCATTATCTCCCTCTCCATAACACTCACTTGTTGACGCAGACGTTCCCTGGGTACAGTTGAAACTTTACACCACCATAGAAATCGTATTCTGTTCATATATTTTGTATTTTAATCTGCCATGAAAAAAATCACACGGTACCTAGGACACGGGTAGGGTAAACTCCAAGCCTCTCAGTGTGGACGTATATTGAGCTGAATATTCTACTACTACTATGAAAAAGATTGTTTTTTTTTTATTTAATAGCAAACCTAAAGTAGACTCGATTCCCTCGATAAGGACGTATAAGAGCTGACGAAGGAATGTAGTAATACCTTTCAGATTCCATGGTTGCTTTTGCCTGCTCCAAAAGTTGGTACTTCTTGGTTTGCTGCACCAACTGTTTGCGGAGCTTTGAGATATCGTTCCTCATTCTATTGTTGTCATCGGTACTGTTCTACAAGATTTTATTCTTTTTTTATTTGATTTTATTCAGAATATATTATAATTAAAGTTAAATGGAAATGTAGAAGGAATAGAACTACCTATGAGCTAACAAGGATTTTTCTTGATCATCTAGATCAGTGGTTCCCAAACTTATTTTGTCTACTGCTCACTTTGAGAATAAACATTTTTTAGCGCCCCCATCTTTTCACATATTTAAAAACCACTATAACTTCAAATTAAATTAATTAATTATTGTGACCTATATATGTATATTAACGGAAAATTGTAAACGAAACTTTATTATAACCCGCAACTTGAGACCTGCAGCGCCCACAAGGGGGCGTTATCGCCCACTTTGGAAAAGACTGATCTAGATGAAGACAGAATGAACCTGTTTAAAAGGAAAAAGAGGAAGCAATAATGGAACAAAAATATAGCATTGTTAAAATTACTTGATAATTGGTTCAGGTTTTTGCTTTCTTCAGGTTTGGAACTTTTCAAGTAGACTAACAACCATGTCTTCGGAATTGGGAACATAATTAAGTGTAGTTTAAGTGTTAGTATATATCTTACCTTTAACTCCTTAGTGGTAGATATGAGCGTCTGTTTTGTCTGTTCCAACTTTATGTTGGCGTTATCCAGATGTTCTCTCAAAGTTGCGGCGCGTGCCGTCGCTTCCTCTTGTTCGCGTTGGGCCAGTTCCAGCCTGTTACCCATGCTGTTCAGCTGCTTCTCGCGACGTTCTATACCCTTCTCTGCTCTGCTCAGCTGACAAACAAATCACCATCATCGTCTCATTCTCTACGGGGAGTTGGTATAATATGTACTACCCTTCCATACATCTCTATCAGCCGTCATGAGTCAATCACTTTTTACGCATGTCTGTGGTTGACCTTTAAAGATTACCTTATCATTGAGATTGCTGATGATCAAACCTCTTTGTTCCATCTCAGCCTTAAGTGTTGCGGATTCAGATTTTATGAAATCTACCAGTCTGTTCTGTCGCACTGCATTGTTCTCTGCGTCCTATAAAAGTAGAATGAATATTATTGTCTTCTTAGGTTTCTTCTATTTGTTAGTACGAGTTGAATAGTTTACCCCCATGATTGCTTCAAATGTGTTTTCTATTCTATTATATTCCTAAACGAGTAGGTAGATAAGTCAATTTGTGAAAATGTGTTTACTTTTAGAAATATTACACTAAAAAATAAAATACCGTAAAACTTTTTGAGAGCGATTTATTTAAAATAAACACAGTATACATAGCTCAATATCTTAATTCTTACTTCACAAACAACGCTAACAATAAAAATTACAAATGCAACATAAATTAGTACAATTTAGACGTGTTGACACGCCGAGCGCGCGGCGCGGAATGTCACATTTCATTCAGTCGGTCCCCCCACCACTCCAATGATCATTCACTCGTTCATTCCTGGATCTTCATCAAATATTCCATCGTCTATGGGAAAGAGTTGATTCATTGTGTCACTACAGGGCCAAAACATCGAGGTCTGTGACGTAACACAATTACATTCGGTGTGTTTTGATGGATCTTGATATACTAACGTACTGCTTGACATACAGCTCATCAATGACTGAAAAATTAAATTTATATTAGTATTTTTTAAGGTAAAAACAACTTGATCGGAGTATATTCAATATATAATAGTAACCAAACTAAGCTAATACCAAGCTTTTTAATCTTGGGGGACCCAGCATTAATTAATAATCGGCATAATAATTTCGGACTTGTACCTACATAGACAAAATTTTAAAAAATAGTCGGAACGAAGGAAATTAAAAAATAAAACTGGTATTACATGCACGTATTTATTTTATCCTTATCTATAATAATAAACCATAGAAATATTATAAATTTCCGGAATTTATTTTTTTTTAAATATAAAAATTGCTCTCTGAAACAAAATAACTCAAGGACTTGTATAAGAGTAAGCTGTCGCCCACGACTTCCTCTGCGCAGATTTAAAAAATAACATAATTAGTTTGTCTATGTGTTGATTTAGACTATGTTCTATGTCTATGCTAAATTACAGCAAGATCTGTAGAGCCGTTCTAAAGATACTTACCTTCTAAAAAAAATCCGAACTTTTACATTTATAATATTATTAAGAATTAAAATAAATCATACTCAAAAACTTACTTTAATATGACGACATTTTAAAACGGTTACGACGATCGACGATGTTTGATTTTGGAAACTTTGGATTGCCTATTAAATGTGACAATGAATGTAACTTACAATAAAGAAAGTCCGACACAATTCAAAACTACCAATAAATTACCACCAATTAAGCAGCACTTTCATCCCGTTTTTTTTAAATAGCAGCATAACCAACTTTAATTCTTGCTTAGATTCTTTTAGATTAGATTAAAACGCAATATAAATGTGTGTCGGTGGCTCAGGGGTCAAGCACTCGACTTGCAATCTGCAGGTCGTCGGTTCGAATCCCGCCATGTACCAATGTGTTTTTCGATTACCGACTTACATATGTACATTTATCTGACGTTCTTACGGTGAAGGAAAACATCGTGATGCAACCTGCACATATCTTAGAAGAAATTCAAAGATATGTGTGAAGTCAACCAACCCGCGCTTAGCCAGCGTGGTTGACTATGGCCTAATCACCCTTAACATAGGGTAGGCTTCAAGCCCCTCAGTGGGGACGTATAGTTAGCTGATGATGATGATGATAAATGTGTAGATGATAATTTAAATATAATAATCATTAATTTCTATAATTATATAGTAAATTGTTTAACAATATAATCACGTAGCAACACTGAGGACAAGCAATTATTATCCTGACACTAATCATCATAATTAACATCAGTTGAATATTATGTTCAATATGTATCACTTCCGCTAACGTTCAAGGTCAAATTATATTTTTAATGTATACTAGCTGTCGCCCACAACTCCGTCCGCACGGGATTTGAATAGATAGTAGCCAAATCTCAGACCTACTAAATATACATATAAATTTACGTAAAAATCGGTCAAGTAGTTTCGAAGAAGTATATTACGACTTACATACGAGAATTTTATATAAAAGATCACACATGTTTATTAAATATACTACCAAAGATGAATAATAATGTAATATATTACCTCAAGCTTCTCTTCTAGTTTAGCAATACTCTCCTCTCCAGCCGTGTTCCTGTGCTCCAGATCCTCAATGTAGCCGAGTGCATTGTCCAACCGCAGTTTGATGCCGTCCAGTTCACCCTGGAGACGTGCTTTCTCTTTCTCGAACCTCTCCTTTTCTTTCACAGCTGATGTTGCACCGCTAAAGTTATTATTACAAAACTTTAAGCGTCACAGAATATAAATAAGAAAGAGGTAAGGTTTAATTCTGTTCGGAATTCAATGTACCTCGTATTGTTTTTTTAATAGTACATTAACTGACTGATAATGGTTTCAGCTATTTGAATTATTATATGTTATTATTCTTTCGCTACTGAAAATGAGCTGAAAAGCGCAAGGAATTACTCCGTCTGAGCTGGCTACCTCTTGCGACAAATTTTGTATATTTTGCTGTTGTAACTTTGAGCTTTATATATGTAGTTTTAGATATGAATAGTTAGAATCTTTTGGTCCGAATGACGTGCTTTCATTACAAAATCCAGTGTCAGAATTATTAGTGAGGGGACATTAACGTCGACATTTTAGTAAGGCTAGTGTTGGGTCAATACATTGGATTATTTTCGGATTTTCTTCCAAACAGTAGTAATAATAGAATTTTTTTGTTTGGAATAAAACTTATATATTTTTTATCGATAGATGGCGCTATATTGTATCTGAAAACAATTTCGAAAAACATTATCTGGCGAATATTTGCGTGTAAAAATACTTACGCATCATCTTCTCCGGCGCGTTTTCTCGCGTCCAACTCTTTCTCCAGTTTTGTTAATGTTTTCTTCATTGTATCCAAACTCTCGACACTGGCCAACTCCCGCGCGTGCATCGCGTCTGCTAAGCATCTTGCCTCCTCTGAAATACCATAAAAATAGATCCCGTTTGCAAAGCAAATGAATCGAATATCAGTTTCAAAATAAGCAAATCCTTTAAGCAGGGGCAAAACTGCAATATGTTACATCATTATAAATTCTGATTATGTCCCACACAAAGATTATTTGCTATTTTCGTTTTATAACTAGCTGTCACATGCGCATCTGTCTGAGCGGAATAAAAAAAAACTTAATGAATAGCATATGTGTTCTTCCGGAATATGTTCTACATTTATACTAAATTTCATAAAGTTCTATTCGGCCGTTCTTGAGAGTTCTAACAAACATCCAAACATTCGTATTTATAACATTAGTAAGATGTTTTATTTTTTATGATGTTGGTAAGAAAGCATTACCAATTTCAGCCATTAATCGTTCAATGTTCTTCTGAGCGTCTGATAATTCTGTAATGTAATCCGATACGGTGTCATCAAAACGACCCAGCTTTGTCTGTGGAAATAGTAAATTAATATAATCTAAGACTAAGGAGTCTATGGCATACAATACATTCGAAAAAAAAGTAAGATTCTTTTACGTTTCACTAGATAGCGCGATTCTCAAACCGACATGAAACTACTACTACTAGATGGCGCTGTTTTTAATTCTAATTATTTTACTTACCTTTAACGCAGTGATGTGTTCATTTTGTGTGCAATTCTCTTCTTTTAGTTTAAAATAGGAATCGTAAAGCTTTGTGTAGACATCGGAATAATATTTCATTCCTTCAGCCTCACGTAGTTGTTCCAAAACCTGTAACAATACTATTTTTAAAAAAAGCTTTCCAATTTTACTTTATAAAAATGTACAGATTGGAGTCATATTCATACTTTACTAACCGTTGGTTTACTGACCAAAGACTCTGTATAAAACATATCGTCATCCCTGTCATTTTCTTTGATAAAATAGAGATAACGGTATGTTTTAAACGGACATTTTGGTCTCAGAAACGTAAAGTAAATAACGTAAATTAAGTTAATGTTAATCGTAACTTAATTTTCACAATCCAATGAATATCATTTCCATTCTAATTATCAATTTTATAGAGATGCCATACGGGCACCGTCCGTATGGCATTGGTCTTACGGCGCTTAAATAACCTTTTAAGTTATAAAAATGAGTAAGCTATAACGTCGTTATATTTTTTATAAAACTACATAGCGTTTGTTTTAGTTCCAAGAATGCGGTTAAAATAGAGCCTATGTGGTTTTTATCTTTAAAGTATTTACGGAGTTAATAACCAATCAATAACCTTTTCAAATTCTTTCTCAGCCTCCGTAGTCCCCGATCCAATCCCGCGAGCGGAATCAAAGCCATCTTCATCTGCCTCCATTTTGTAAATTGAATTTAAATAATCTAATCTGATAAATAATAAACGTTAAGCAAATAATAGAGAAGCAAAACAAAAGTTGTTTATAAAAAATATTGTCAGCGATGTTTATTCGTTGCTGTGACAACCTCGTGACTTTTAGAGATTAAACAACGGATTATGACTACATAGATTAGGAATAAAGTGCCCTGTGATGGCATAGATAATAAAGCACTCACCCCCTTTACGCAACAGGGTAGGCAGAGATAAAAGGTTTTATATAATACAATCTTTTCACGTCTCTTTATGTTTTACATTTATACCTACATATATCTAAACTTCGTTAGTGATTCCTTTCTCTAAAATGTCTCAATTCACAATAAAATTAAGCATCGCATAGTTCTTGCTCTATTTATAATCAAACTAGCTCTCCACCGTGACTCGGTCTGCGCGGAATTAAAAAAAAATAGCCTATGTGTTCTTCCAGATTATATTTTATATGTATGCCAAATTTCATCGAGATCCGTTCAGACGTTCTGGAGATACCTTCAAGTAAAAATCCATCCATCCATCTATGCATTCACATTTATATTAGTAAGTATACAATATGAAATAATAATTGAAAAAAAATAATTAAAACAATATCACATCGAATTATTCACTCAAACTAATAGTTTATATAACTTCGATGAAATTAAATTTAATTTGCGTATTTATAGCACAAGAGAGACGGACAGTTATATTCACAAAGTAGAAAGAGATGCAAATAGTTATCACTCAGATGTTAGATAGAGATGGAGTATTAAAGCGGACGTAAGAGCGAGAGGGGAACATTCGGAAGTTGGGAGGTTGTCAGTAATCTAGGGACCCCTCTAATTGTAAAGTAATGAGGAAGCGGCCACTTTTACAATTACTATCAATGCGATTTCCATATGAATTGAACTGTTTTAATATAGTACGTAAGGCCCCTAACTAAATATGTATATTAAATTATTACTTATAAGTACCTTTTAACTCAACAATTTATATTACAACTGCGTCCGAGCGGGATTAAAAAACACAATTAGTAGCCTTCGTGTTCCAGACTATGTTCTATATGTATGTCGGAGAATATCAATTTAAAATGAAGTTAATTGTTTTATTAGAATGCCAACATGTAAGAGGTGTCGTCAATAGTGTTGAAGCTCAATTTATTAAATAAAAGAATGTCATTGGTACGGAGCGGTGGATGGACGTGGATTTGACTAGAAACGTCAATAGTGGGAGTGCTTAGTTGAGAACGGTTGCGCTTCGATAGTCTGCCCAGCTGCAATTCGTACGGGTTGGTAAACGGATCGAGGCCTGCCTTTCCGCAAGCCACCGTGCGACGGTATTCCGTTGCTGCTCATACCCCCTGTAGCGCCAACGCCGGACCACACTTCTAGCCGACAGTGGTGTGCGGGTTCTGGAGATGGCGCCCGCGCTGGTGTGCGCACTGGCTGGGTGAAGCGGAGTAGAATATTCGGACGGAGTACGAGTATCGACCATTTAATTAGTGAATTGCTCGGTAATTTCCGACATTTGTGCTAAATTTAATCGTGATCAAAGCAAAGGGGTCCGATGAAAACCAGAGCAGGGAGTGCCCAGGTTGTTCCTGTATCGGCTGAGCTGGCAACCTTTTGTCACGTTCTCTTTTGTATTCATCATTTTTTTTCTGTGGCAATAAACGTTTATTCTCTTCTGTCCTGTTCTGCTCTGACCTGTCCTGTCCTAATAAGTCATGATAATCCGTGCGTTACGTATTACGTTAAAGTCGTTCAAATAGACAACATAATCTTTTTGTATATAGATATACAGATAATAAATGTTCAGTTCAACAATGCACATACACTATGTATTTATCGATTAACATATTTTTTCTAGTTCATTAACATGATTAGATATTTTCCTCAAAGCTTGATGCTGGGAAAAGATCAATCGACATTCCTAAACGTACATTGTACAATAGCATCTACATACATTATATACATAATTTTCCTTATATACATGTACAGTAAACTAATTAATTCACTATGTAAACGATTTTTTAATTATAATGCGAATGCAATGGATGTTTATTAGAAGGTATCTCTAGAACGATTGCATGGACCTCGTTGAAATTTGGCATAGATATAAAACATTGTCTGGAAGAACACATAGGCTACTAAGTTAGTTTTTTTTAATCCCGCGCAGACGGAATCGCGCTAATATTTTTTTTTTAAATAAGTATGACACAAAATAAATACATTTCCACACGAAATAACTTAGAATTTGGATTTGCTAACGCTCTCAGTAAATGTTAATAATTTTTGAAACAGTAGATTTATTTAGATTTATCTTTGCCAAACTGTATCACTAAGGTGCACCCTAAGTGATCATTAAACGACTTAAATGTATCGATATGACCATTTTAAAAAATCTGTATTAAACATACTTTTTATAGATGATAAAGGACATAAGTTTTTTTCTTTACGTTATTTCTGGTAATAAGAGAGGTGGAATAAAAGATCGGGTTCAAAGACGTACCTTGACACGAGTATTGTAACGCATCGTTGCCTTCTCGGTGTTACCTGTGACCTCGTGAAGGTCGTCTGTGAATAAAAAAAAGTTTGTTTTAAAAAAAAATTGAATCCAACAGACTATAACCGGGAAAGAACACAAATCGAATGATCATCAGTTCGGAGGCTACCTTAAGTTAGGGGTGACTAGGCTATAGTCAACCACGCTGGCCCCGTGCGGGTTCACACATATCTTTGAATTTGTTCGCAGATATGTATAAGAGCATCTATTCATCATCATTATCGGCTTACTATGCGTCCTCACCGAGGGGCTCGGTGCATAACCTAAGTTAAGGGTGATTAGGCCATAGTCAACCACTCCGGCCAAGTGCAGGTTGACTTCACACATGTCTTTTAAATTTCTTCGCAGATATGTATAGGAGCATCTATTCAACATCATCAGCTCAATATACGTCCCCACGGAGGGGCTCGGAGCCCACCCTAAGTTAAGGGTGATTAGGCTATAGTCAACCACAGTGCCCTATTGATTCTGTTTAGTATAAAAAATAATCACACTACCGTATGATTCAAATCAAATATTTACATCCCAAATAAATGACGAATTTTTAATATGTTACGACGAAAACATGTGCAAATCCGGCTTTGTTTTTTTTATTATTGGTTTTGTATAAAACAATATTTACTAGTGCTATGGTTTTTCGTATGTTTGTACTGTTTAATGACGTTTAAGAAAATTGGAAAGTTGAGGGGAATTACCATAGATAATGAGGTTAAGTATAGCATTAATATGAAAAGAGGTTATGTTTAATCATTTTAACTAATTAATTATTCAAAATAGAAACATTAGTTCTACTTAATTATTTCGTACGTTTTTAATCTTACTAATATTATAAATGAGAACGAATTGTTCATTATTATTTGAAGATATCTCTAGAACGTCTAAATAGATCTCGTTGAAATTTGGCACACAACATGTGGAAGAACACATAGGCTAATAATTAAGATTTTCTTAATCGCGGGTCGCGGGCGACAGCTAATCTTATCTTACTTCTTGCTAATATTATAAGTGCGAATGTGTAGATGGATGGATGGACGTTTGCTTGAAAGTACCTCCACAACGGCTGAATAGATCTTGTTGAAATTTGGCACACATTTAGAATATAGACTGGAAGAACACATAGGCTACTGAGATACACATAGCTACTAAGATTATTTTTAATATCGTCGCGAGTCGCCGTCGGCAGCTAGTATTATCTTACTTCTTGCTAATATTATAAATGCGAATGTTTAGATGGATGGTTTGATGGATGGATGGATGGTGGATAGATGGATGGGTGTTTGCTTGAAGGTATCTCCACAACGGCTGAATAGATTGCGAGCGACAGCTAGTTTTTTTTTAAATATTTTTGTGTGTTATTTAATATATGGACTTTAAATCGTACATCAATTTGAACGTCTTTTTAAAGTAACCTTTTAAAATATATTAACAAGGAAGTTGATGCTTTGTGATCAATTAGTTAATAGCATTAACTTAAGATAAGATTTATAATTAACTTTTTGCTATCCACATTTGACTGACTTAAAGACCAAACCTAATGATATGTTTATATTCTTAATTGAGAAAAAAATTATCTTACTATAGATCCTATTTTAGATTGTTTTATCTTACTTCTTACTAATATAATAAGTGCTAATGTATGGATGAATGGATTGATGAATGGATAAAGGGATGTTTGTCTTACTAATATTATATATGCGAATGTTAGGATGGATGTTTCTTAGAAGGTATGTCCAAAACGACTGCATGTATCTCGCTAATGTTAAATCATTGCAATCCTTTCTAATTCATTTGTAGCATCCTTGGCCGTATCAAATAAAAAGATTGTGTTCTGTTTCGGACAATACTTGCAAAAGGTTTTAACGTTCACACTTCTACGACCTAAATTCAATTTGAAATATATTTAAACATTTAATTAGATCTTACTATCTTACTGTATTATAAATGCGAATGTTTAGATAGATGGAGTATGTTTGTTTGAAGGTATCTCCAGAATGGCTGCATGGATCTTGATGAAATTTAGCATAAATGTAGAACATAGTCTGGAAGAACATATTGTTTACTAATTAAGATACTTTGTAGTTTCGCGCGGACGCTAGTTGAGTTATAAAGACTCTAACAGTAGTTAAGCTCGCAAAAGACTATTGCCGGCTGGATCACAGATAACACAACATGTGAAGTACTGTTTTTTATTATATTATAAGGTGAAAAACGATTAAATGGCCATCTACATCGTCCGAAATACTGAAGCAAACATTGCCAATGGACATCGGCAATAGCAGATGCGTTGTCTACTTTAAAGAGATAGAGGAGGGGACGCGTTGATATTTTTTTTTATAAGACAAGTGGTTAAACGAGCGGCGGGAACACCGAGATGATCAACGACACCCATGGACATCTGCAACACCAGAGGAACTGCAGATGTGTTGCCGTCCTTTAAAGAAATGGTATGCTCGCTTCTTGAAGGGCCCCATGTCGTATTTGTTTGGAAATACCGCCGACGACAGACCGTTCCACAACGCAGCTGTGCGAGGCAAGAAGTTGCACGAGAATCGCACC